CACACACACACACACACACACACACACACACACACACACACACACACTTTTGAGATGAACAACTTGTATTAGTTTGAATTGCACAATGATGTAACACATAAAAATAAAAAAAATAAAATGGGTTGTAAAGCTGTACCAGTTTATCAGACAGGACACACTGCAGGAAACCAGTTCCGTCTCTCAGCACGATAAACATCAGGTTCTTCCCTGTAGGAGAGAGAAAAAGTTCACAGTGAACGGAGATACGGTTAAAATAGGAAGACACTCTGAATTTAATGCCTTTACACACCGACACCACCAGCGTTACGAATGAACTACGTGAAAACCTGAAATACTCGCCTGCCGATATTTTGCATATACAAATATATTGTGTGAATCAATCGCACAAAGAAAGAACAGTGTGTAAAGGCCTTCAGTGTTGAAGACCAGAGACAAACACAGCAGTCAGATTAATATCATGTTTTGTTTCCTCACCCTGTCTCCTGAGGCGATGAACCCATCCGAACACTTTGACTCTCTGCCCTCTCTTGGCCTCCAGATGATGGATTTTAACCTGCAAAACAGTCCACGCTCACCTTTAGCTCACTAGCACAATAGGGCACAGCTGGATTTAGGGTTGGGTACCAACAACTGTGAAGCACTGAAAGCTGTACTGAATAACTGGTCAGATCTGTAATCTCCTCTATATATTCTTTGCTCACACAGTTCCTGATTAAGAACTTTATTTTGCTCATTTTAAAACGGCTTGCGTACCTTTAGACAACATTTAACACTTAGACCAGCCCAGTGCTCACCCTTGTTTTAAAAAGGACCTACGTGGCTTCTTGCAGCACAAGACGACTAAATCCTGGTTTAGGAAAGAAATGCAGTCTGAACTGTCTCCATAAAATAATTCATATCTAATTCCTTTGCACGTTCAGCATCACTCCTTGTCTGAGATACAGTATGTGTTGTCATGGTAGCTTTGCGACTGAGTCACAGCTGGATCACTTCCGCCGACACAGAACAGGTTACAGACACAAAGTTAGCTGCTAAAGCGGGAAACATTAAAAGGATAAGTCCTGCTTGAGCAGCGCCCGTCTCCAGAAAAACGATCCACCTTCTAAACGACATGCAGCGCTACGTAAAGAGGAAGTTCTACAACGCTGACCACCACGACTAACAAACTATCTGACCTGGGTCTTCTCAGTAGTTGAACAATAAATGGCAAAATACAAATAAAAAAAGAGCCGGATGATGAAATCAATAAAACACTAGCCTCCTATTAAAAAAAGGAACGTTCTAGCTGCTAGTGTGCGCTCCAAAGCAGCCGCCTCGGTAAGTGCAGGCAGCTATCCCAGGACGGCCTATTTTACTGTGAACAAATATCATTAATTTAAAAAGATGTATAATTAAATGTGAATGTATCTAGAACTTGATGAGTGTTTGATCAAATCAACAGCTCACTTCAGGCTGTGATTTGTTGATATGAACACATTTATTAACTATGTTCAGTAACTGTTTGTTCACCAGTTACCACTACTTTATGTGATTAAAGACAAACATGGTAATTAACCCTGAGAATGCAGGTTACAATACAAGTGTTTCAGCGGTTACTTGAGCCAACATCCAATAAGTATTATTAGATGAATACAACAGTGGAAACAATATGGCTGACCGTATCAGGCTCAGGCAGGCTGGGGTCCTTCTCAATGTTGATCTTCTTGGCTTCTTCTAGGTTCTTCTCTCTCCTCTCGGTGTCCTCTGCCTGCCACACAAAGCAAACATTTAAAGACACTACACCTGCTTCTTGATCGAATAGACGTATGAATTATAGCTCAACTATGCAAAACTGCACAGAGAGAGGAAGAAACACCCTGAATTTGCCCAGAATTGCTTTTAAGTGAAGTAAATGTTACACACACACACCTCCTTCTTCTCTTTGGAATCGCACTTCGTCTGCTCACGGTTAAAGGCTTTCTTTGAGTTCTTCATCTGCGTCTTAGAGATCACCGCCCAACGCTGAGGAAGACAAAGAAGAGGACCGCATATATGACGGGATGAGAAAAATAAATAAAAGCAACGTATAAAGTGCAGTTTATGAGTTTCTAATTCAGCAGGTTTTTACTGTAGTCAAACTCTGCAACAGCGAGAAAGAAACCTTGGGGTGAAAGACGGTTAAAATAATTAGTGAAAACAACAGATGCTGCAGCTGTGGTTGGAATAAAACCTGCCAAGTTTAAACAGTGTAGAAAACAGTAAAGAGTTTCCTGTGTTAAATTGAAGACATGTTTTAAACCGACCTCTCCCTCCTTCTGTGATTCTACGTAGATGGTCGGGAATGGCTCCTTTCCAGCAAACATCAGAGCCTGTGAGGAGATTTGCACACAAAATCAGATGCTGACAGATCAGTGCAAATCAAACAATGGAGCAAATAGATGATATGCCCACTATTTCTCCTGCTAACGCTACATCCTGTAGCATTAAGCATGTTAAACAACACACGCCTGAATAGAGTTAAGGCAGACAACAGGATGTACTTTAAGCTACATGACCGTTTACCTTGAGGGGAGTTTTGAAGGGTTTCTGCTCCGTGCCGTCTCCGTCCTGGTCGCTGCCACATTTGTCCGACACATACAGCTCCCCTGTGAAGCAGAGGCAGAGTGAGACGTAGCACTCCCTCCCAGTCCTATTAAATACCTTGGATTTAAAGCTACTACGAGGAATAGCTGGTGACTATTTTGATTTTCCTGAAACATAAATTCCATGAGTTGGCCGTCTCTCACACACATTGAAGCTCGTGGCTGATGTCCGGTTGGTGTGCTCTCTGAACGGTTGAGCATCGAGTCAAGAGGAGTGTTTGCACACGGACCCTCCTGATGCTCGCTGAGACTGCAACATCCAGACAAGTCTATTTCCAGTGAACCTGCCACCGTCTTGCTTAAGGATGAGTCAGGTTTTGAACTTTTGCCTCCTGAAGCCAAATTGAAACTAAAGAGCTTAGTCATCTGCAGCTTTACTAGGCTGGACAGAGATAGACAACTTGGATGTACTGTTGGCAGGGCTGGGCAATATCCTATAACTGTATTATATCAATATTGGATCAGACTAGACATCGTCTTAGATTTTTGATGTCGTAATACGGCATAAGTTTGATCATTTCCTGCATATAAAAAATACACTAAAGTGGTGTAATTTCCGTAACTTACCAGACTGTTTTAGCTGTTCTATTATGTGCCTTTACCCATTTAAGTCATTACATCCACATTGCTGATGGTTGTTTATCAGAAATCTCATCGTGCAAATATTTCGTAAAAGCAATCATACGATATCGTCACAATATCAATGGAGGTAAATGGTCACAAAACATTGTGATATTTCAGTTCTCAAAGCTCTGATTGTTGGCGAAACAAGAGTCTGCAGGGAGGTTTGCTGCTCACCAGCATTTCTTGTCCACATTATGCAGAAGAGATGCCAACAAACACACCCATCAATCAAAAGGCAAAAGACCAACAGAAAGCATACACTACATGGCAGAATGTACGTGGACGTCTGAACAGCCTCCACGGTTTGAGGCTTACAAGCTGATGTTGCCCCCAGGAGAGCATTTAGTGAGGACCAACACTGATGTCGGCCGATATGGCACAAGCTGCTGGATGAATAATGATAAAAACCGTAAGCTCATCACACTTAGACTTTTGGCTTCATACACAGACATCAGAACAGATTAAATGATTTAATAAGAGCATATAGACATATATACACACACACACACACACACACACACACACACATATATATATATATACACATATATACACCATAGGTATCTGTGGGTGGATCGAGACCATCTTGACACGCTAGGAAATGAAACGTTACAAGCTGAATCCAAAAAGACGAATAACGTCACGTGTTACTGAGAGCAACCTTGCTGACTATTTTACACTCTCTTTTGACTAAAAGAGTAAAATTATAACGCAAAATCACACCTCGTTAACGTTCACTGGCTGTCGGAGCCCCGTAGCTGCTGCACAGCAGACTGACAGCTGTCATGGCTAAACGTTAGCACACAATGCCCTTTCTCTGACTCAGTTTTTATGTTCGACTTCGTTCGGTATCCACACAAAATGTATGCGACTGTGTAATCCGGCTCCGAATATCGAACCTGACACCTACAGATTCAGATATCGGCGTTAGCTAGCATGCTAACTGCTAACATCACTGCAAATGATGCAATATGCAAGACACACATGTCTTTGGGAGCTAGCTAACGAGCTAGCTCTGGCTAGCTGTTTATTTCTAACTTACCCACTGATACTTGCTCCACACCTTTCGTTAACTCTGTCGCCATGTCTGCGCAGGTGCTAAGACAGTCCGCTGAGGAGGGGAAGCTAAATATTTTTGTATTGGAAAAAATGGAAACGAAACCCCAGAAGCGAGTGTCGGCGGAGTCTATTCAGCTGCGGAAATGCAACTTTACATCAGCCCGGCCGCAGCTCGCTGTCATTGGTTGTCGACACTGGAGGAGGAAGAGGTGAGTCGACTCGCCTATTGCTTTCGGCACATTTCACCAGCGCTGATTGGCGCGCGTTGGGTACGTCACTTCCTTAACAGCGAATCCGATTGGCTGTCTTCCTTGTCAGTTATCTGGTTGGCCAATTAGATCAAAACTAATCTAAAAGCGTCAATCAGCACTTGAGACAAATCAGTTTTTGCTAAAATAAATAAATAAAATGTACGACGCAATACTGTACAAAAATACAACGCTACTAAACTGATGCCGAGTAAAAATGAAATAATATAAAATCGCTTTTTTGGCTCAGTTCATTTTTAAGGTATTTGGGGAAGTGTTGATGTCAATTATTAAAACATTGATTGACTCAGAAGGGGTTTTAATATGTTTGATTTATTAAATTGCAGTGATAAGGAGAAGTGCTTCAAGGCTCATGCAGCTGAACAGAGAACTGAAAAGATTACAGCAACAATACAAACAAACATCAAACTATACAGACCAAATAACAGGTGAGGGGCTCAATCATCACAACAGGTCAATGTTTGTTCAGAGAAGTCTATATGGCAATATAAATTATTCTGTTCAGTTATTTATTGGCAAAAATATGATTTTTAAATCCCACAATGCTGGCCTCTCCTTAAAATGTAGAGGTCTCCCACAATCCTTAACTAATTTACAGAAAATAAAAACATAAGTTACTTATTATTTCCCGACACATTTAAAACAAGAAATGTCCCAAAATAATATTCTATTTATTGCATCACCATCCCTCACACAATTTTCTGTGTATCTGTATTTAATTACTACAATTTTTGTATTTATTTTGTAATTGTTTACTTGAAAGACGAATAACAAAAACGTTTTTTAAAAGATGAAAACTCGCTGGTCGTCATGAGCAGTGATAACCACCATGGCTGAGAAGCGAAAGAACGCTACATACAGAAACTCTACATTAGTTGTGTGTTTGAGGCTCCACAGATTTTAACAGAGGCTCCACTAAAGTGAGTACCAAATCCAGGACAGAGAGGCTGAGTGAATGTGGTCTGGACTCTGTGGAGGAGGGTCATGGTCTCAGAGACGCTGTAGAAACACAGAATCCCTGCCCTGTGGTCCAGGTACACTCCTACTGTGGAGGACTGAGGGCCTGAGAGGGAGGTTATCATGTTGTTATGTCTGAATTCATAACCGTCGTGGAAACATTTTAGTGCCCACGACTTGTCGTTGTTTCCAAATGCACTCTCTCTTCCTGCCCTGCTCATGCTCTTGTATGCGACTGCTACAACAACGCCTTGCCCATTCCACTTCACCTCCCAGTAACAACGTCCAGTCAGCATTTGTCTACACAAATGCTGACGCCAGTCAGTGAAGCTGTCTGGGTGACCACCATATAAAAATGCATTATAATTGCATTCTACCTGTAGGCTATCTCTAACGGTTGAATGTTTATGTGCTGTGGTGTAATCCAGTGTGATTTCACACGAGTATTTGAGGAAATCTGTTCTGGTCTGTGGCGGTAAAACATCTTCCATCCCTGCCAGTGCGATCCTGCTCCATTCCTCGCTCAGATTGTCCTGTAGTTTCTCTCTGGCCTCCGACACAGCCGCGGTCACATCCTCTGCGTACCTCTGGGAACGGATCGTGACGCTGGGCGACTCTGTAGCCTCGGCGAGACGCGACAGCGAGGCGTAGCTGTGCAGAAACCGGGTGTGATCCGCCGCGCGCGAGAGGCTCTCCAGCTCGGCGTCTTTCCCGCTCAGCTCGGCGATCTCCTGCTGCAGCTTCTCCTGAAGCCCGTTCACGTGACTCACTTCCGATTTCTGACGAGATCTGATCTGTCTCTTCGCGTCCATGAAGATCTTCTCGCTGTCCCTCACAGCTTCATCAGCGTAGCGATTGATAGCCTCCACCTCCAGCTGAAGCGCCTTCTCATCTTTCTCTCTGTTCTGGATTCTCTGCTGGATCTTCTGTCGACTCGCCCCGAGCTCTTTCTGCCTCTTGGCCATTTCTGCTGCAGCTGAGACTGTGTCGTGGCCTTTATGTTCGTCCATGGAGCAGAGAATACAAATACACTGTTGATCAGTGCGGCAGAAAATCTTTATCACCTCATTGTGACGAGTACAGATGTTCTCCTGAAGCTCCTTAGAGGGGTCGATCAGCTTGTGTTTCTTTAATTGAGTAACTTCATAGTGAGGCTGGAGGTGCTGCTCACAGTAAGAGACCACACACTGCAGACAGGACTTGAGAGCTTTCAGTTTTCTCCCAGTGCAGACATCACAAGCCACATCTTCAGGTCCAGCATAGCAGTGATCAGCTTGGAGTCCCGTCTTCATCAGTTCCTCCACTAAATCTGCCAGCATGGTGTTTTTCACCAGGACAGGCCTCGGTCCAAATGTCTGTCTGCACTGAGGACAGCTGTGGAGCTTCTTCTGATCAGTTTCATCCCAGTAGTTTTCAACACAGCTCCTACAGTAGCTGTGTCCACAGGGAATAGTCACTGGATCCTTCAGGAGGTCCAGACAGATCGAACAGCAGAGCTTGTCCTGGTCCAGCTGAACTCCTCGCTGCGCCATTTTACCTCTCAGAGACTTTCGTTCGAGAGCAGGAAGGAGGAGGAGGAGGAGGAGCTATGAGGTTAGATTCATTCCAGGAAGAGGAGTGATTTCAACGAGGCTGCGTGTGTTTACAGCACCCGTTGCAGTGAAACATGCAGTGAGGAGTACGACACTGACCTGGACAGGATCAGTGGGCTTCGTGATCGTCAAACAAAGCTGGTTCACTCACTAATGTTTTATCAATTGTGAAGAGTGCAGAAAATAAAATGTTTGTGCTGTTAGTCGACAGCTTTTGAAATAGTTATTTCACAAATCATGAACCTTCGGAAGCTCAGAGAGAAGTGAAAAAACTAATATACCGAACAGGAGAAAAAGGTTTTGTGCCTTCCATCTGTATTTAGTTTACTTTACAGAACTTGATAACACAAGATGTAGCTTATATTTAGAGTGCATGGAGAAATTAAAACTCACCTGGAAGTAAACACGAATGCTGAGTCCTACTTAGAACACGAGGAGGTGGAGGTGGTGCACTCAGCCTCTTGTAACCGAAAGGACTATTACACAACTAACAGTTAAAAAATGATCCCGACAGAAAAAACAATTTGTTTCACCTGTTTTTATCTGAACGAAAGTAATTTGTAAAAATTGTTATTTTCTACTGTTTCACAGAATACAGATTAAGTAGTTTAGAGAGATTACCCTGGCAAAACCATATTTAGAAAAACTGTTCTCAAATCATAAACACAGGAGAGAAAACTATTGTGATCACTCAGAAATTATTTTTTCTCACTTGCCTCATATACATATAGACATATATATTGTGTATATATACACGGTATATACATACATATATATATTTATTATACATACGTATTGTATATATATATATATATATATATATAGATATATACAGTACATACATACATAACGATGTCCATGCTGCTTCTGTCTTTATTGCAATACTAGACCTGTTACCAGTGCCACATTCACTGCTACCCCCCCCCCC